ACACGCTGCCACCCCCGGGACCCTGCAGACAGCTGTGTCCTCATGGTCGCCCTGCTCCGGCCCCACGGGCCCCGCCAGCTGGCATCCATGCCCTGGTCCAATGCCGCCACGTGCCTGTGTGTTGGGCCCAGCGGCTTCTACTTGAAGAGAGCAGAAGTGAGCATCAGGCCGAGGTTAGGGTATAGACATTAGGTCGCCGCGGCTCCTTGTGGGTTTTCTCTCTCCCAACCTCCTCCCTACCCCCCAGATCACTTGCCCTGACGAAGCAGGCTTCTGGGGTCCCCAGGGTCAGCCCTGAGCACCTCTCCCTAACCCAGGAGAGGGACAGCTGGTTGTGGACAGCATCTGGACTATGGCCCTGGGCAGAGGTCCTGGCCGCTTTATCTCACTCATGGGGGCTCTGAGGACTCAGCTGAAGGCAAAGGGGCTCAGGTGGCCAAGAGCTCTGTGCCCTCACAGTTGGCTGTGACTTTTTGGGGGTGGGGGAACAGCAAAGCCCCTGAGACACACTGGGGGGCCAGGATGGGCCAAGGAAGGCTTGAGCACTGTGTTCTGAGGGGAGTCACAGGGTCCAAGTAGAATCCTAGCTCTGTCCCTGCTATGTGACCTCAGGCAAGACATCACCCTCTCTGAGCCAGGGTCTTGTTGATAACAGAGATGACATCACCTGCACGGCAGGGACTCAGGGCAGGAGGGGATGGCAACCAGGGACTGAATGTGGGAAGGCACCAAGATAAGGGACACAGTTCCCTTGGAGGAGAAAGGGTCTTGTCAGGGCTCCTCATGTCTGACCGTGTTTGTGTTCAGGGATGTCTGCCTGTGCGTCCATGTCGTGTGAGTGTCTGTGTGTGCATGTGTGATCTGTGTGTGGTGTAGGCAGGTTTGTGGGGTGAGGTGAGACCTGCCTCAGTCCCAGCTCTGTGACGCTGTGATGACAGGTGGCCGTGGGTCCGAGGCCCAGCCAGGACCGCAGACCTCTGTGTAGTCCCAGCCACGGTGGCCCTTCTGGGTGCAGTGGTCTGATTTCTAAAGTAAGATCAATGCCAAATCCTGTAGGAAAACAATCTGATCGAGAAGGTTTCAGATGTTCTGAGATAAAATAGCATTTCTTGGGAGGAAAGAAACAAAGGAAGAGGGTAGGTTTGCAACCAGCTTTTAAAAAGAAGCACCCAGCCAGACATGAACCTCGCTCCCTTTCTGAAAATCCTGTTGGTTCCCCCACCACACCCCTGCTGCTACAGTGTCCACACGCCTTCCCAGACAACCTCCTGGCTTGCCACATGAGGAGCAGGACCACGGTGGAGGGGTGTGGCAGGCCGCCTCTCCCCACCTCTCAGTCCACACTCACACAACGCCCGGGGGGTGACTCCGCTCTCGCCCCCACTTTCCAGGTTGGGAGACAGAGGCGCTGAGTGGTTCTGGAATGTGCTCGAGGCCAGTGCTGTGGGGGCGAGGGCCCAGGAGCCCAGGGAGGGACGTGGAATTGGCTGGTAGAAACCACTGGGGCTTGAAATGCTGGTCGTCCAAAGTGAGGATGCTTCCTTGTTGCTCTAAAAATCCACGATTTGGAAGCATCAAAAGAGCCAAATGGGAGTGAGTCAAACACATTAGGAATGGTTGTTTCAATCAGCTGGTCCCTCCGGTGACCTGGGCTGGCGGGAGCTGGGTTAGCCAGGTGCAGGGGTGAGGCAGTGGGAGCGGGGTGACATCACACTGATGCAGCCGACCAGGGCTTGGCAAACATTTTCTCAAAGGAACAGCTAGTAAGTATTTAGGCTTTGTCACAGCTACTGAGCTCTCCTCTTGTCAGCCACGGACAGTATGTGAACCTCTGTTCCAGTTAAACCTTATTTACACAACAGGCGGCCGCCCGATTTGGCGCCTGGGGGGCTGAAGCTTCTGGGGCCCTGCTGTGGGCCTATTTGGATTGAGGGAGAATGTCAGTCTGTTCGGGCTACTAGTCACCCAGCAGACATGGATTTCTCACAGTCCAGGAGGCTGGAAGCCTAGGGTCAAGGTGCCTCGTCTGCTTGTGGTCTCCTTGGGTGGAAGGCGCAAGGACCTGTGGGCACTAAGTCCTCAGAAGGCCTCCCTCCTCACTCCAGAGCATTGGGGGTTAGGATTTCAACACAGGAATTTGGGGTAGAGACACAAATATTCAGTCTGTGGCATGGAAGAAGGCCACACACTGTTGTTAATAACAAGAAAGAAACCAGTTACACAATAGAAATAGTTTGCCCAATGAGCTCACTCAGCAAATATGTCCTGAGCATGTGTGAGGTGCCAGGCACAGCCCTGGCCCCAAGGACCCAGCTGTGACAGGGGGCAGGCCAGGCCCTCACACTGGACCGTCTGACGAGCCAGGTGTGGCAAGGACTCAGATGCCGGAGGGAAATTTGAGAAGTAACACAGATTTGCATGGAAAAAAGGCTGGAGGGACACACATCAAAATGTTAGTTGTGTCTAAGCCTGGGTGCTGGAATTTTCGTTTCTACGCGCTCCTACATTCTTTGTAAGTTTTTAACAAGGACCATGTGCTCTTACTTGCTGTACGACAATAAGAACAAAATGTATGAACGGGGGTCTCATTCCCGAGTCTGGCTGCTGGAGCTCCCCCCTTCCCCGCCTTCCCAGCCCTCCCTTGTCCCCGGGGCCCTTGGGGGCTGGTGGGTGAGCAGGGATTCCTACCACCTGACTCTGGGGACTTAGGAAGGCCACGCTGGCCCGGGCATCACAGACCAGGGTTACAAGCAATCTGGCTTTTTCTTCTGTGGTTTCTTCCTATTAGGGCCGAGGCCCTGGGTCACCCTGGGGAGGCAGCCACATCCTGTGAGTCTGTGGCTGGAGACCCAGTGGGTCCATTAAAATCTCTGGACCTCAGACCCTTGAACTCCCAAGCTCTGAATTCTCTTTCCTCTCTCCCTGTAGTGGAAATGTCACCTCTTACTGGCTGAGGTGCTGCGTGTGTGAGGACTGCACCCATGCGGACAGCTGAGTGCCCCTGGGCAGGTTCCTGAACTTTGGGGTGTCCCTTTCCTTATGCGTGAAATGGGGCTGTTGTGAGCATCATGTGGCTTCACACCACTGCGGTCGGCATGGAGCGTGCGCAGTGGGCGGACAGGTGCCACAGCCGTCCACGTCTGGCAGATATTTGTGTCGGCTGCAGAGGTCAGGGTTAGTTGAGCCTGGGGGAGCCAGTCCTCAGTGGAAATCCCCCGAGGCCTGGCAGACCAAGGAGCCAGGCAGGGAACCCCCTGAGCCTTGCAGGAGATGCGAGGCCTGCCTGCGTGGGGCTGGGTGGCCCACCTGAGCCCAGCCCCTTGCCGGTATCTCACAGTCTGATACCCATGGAGGTTCAGAGAGGCCAAGGAGCCTCTCCCAGGGCGCAGCTGGGGCAGGTGTGCTGGAGAAGCTAGATCTGGGAGGCCTGGGGCCTGTAAGCCCAAGATTCACCACCACAAGCCCACAGGCATGGCTGGTAGGCTAGACACTGACCCCCCCGCCAGCTCTGGGAAGCTGGGGCTGGGAAAGATGCGGGGGCTAGAAGGCCCAGAGGGGCTCCAGGCTGGTCTCCACAGAGTAGCTAGCCCTAACAGCTGGTTTCCACAGCTTCTGAGGAGTGACACGGAGGCTGGATGAGGCAGAGTAAGCGGGCACCGAGTGGCCTCGAATCCCTCTCTGTGTCTCACTGCCCCTGGCCTCTTTATCCAGGTGCCTGGGAAGCGAGCCCACGTGCTGGAGTCCAACTGCCTCAGCCAAGCTGCCAGGACTTTCCTTGTTTCTGAAAGCGGGGCTCAGGGTCTCTGGCTTCTGGGTGCGCCTGTGGTGCAATCCCGCCCTCTCACCACCAGGGGTGCTGTCCACGTACAGGGTCTGCGGCGGAGGCTGCCGCGAAGACCTCTCTCTGCCTGACCCGACCCACGAGCATACTTGTCCTGACCCCAGAATCTTCTTCTGCAGCCCTGGAGGCCAAGACTGAGCCCTGGTCAGCCTGAGGGCACAGACCCTGGCACACCAGAGATCCAGTCTCTGCTGCCCTGACCCTTGGGCCCCCTTCCCCCTAAACCCTCTTCTTGTCCCCCTCCCCCTATGGCTTTTGGCCAGGTCTGTGCCCTATTTTTAGGCAAACATTGGCAAAGAGAATGGCCAGGAGGTGGCTTCTGCCTCTGTTAGCACCTCCTCTTCCGCTCGGCTCCCACTGGCAGGTGGTCTAGGGCATGGGGAGAATCTGGGGTCCCCTATGGAGCCTGGTCCCATCTGGCTGCCGGGGACAGGGTGGCAGGGCCCCCAGGCACTGCCAGGTCAGACTCTGACACCCAGGACAGTCAGGGACTATCCCTGCTCCTGGACTGCAAGTTCACCCCTCCCAGGGTAGGGGTGCCTGGCCCACAATTAGGTGCCCATGATATGCTTGTTGGCAGGTGCTTCTTCACCAAATGCCCCCTCCAGTTGGGGTCCAAGAGAAGTGGGGAGGAACACGGGGATTTGGTGCTAAACCGGGGGTCCAGTTGCCACCCCCCAACTCGCCAAAGGGCCTGGCAGCTCTAGATGCCCACTCCCAGGCCCCCAGGGCAGCCCAGGGAGGACACTGTCCCAGGGGGCCGGGGGGCTCTGCACAGTGTGGGAAGGCGCTGCCTGGCCTTATCCCAAACCTCTCGGCCCCGGGCTTCCCCGGGGGGGGATTTGAACCCTGCCAAACCCCGGCAACCCCGAGGGGCGAGGGTCAAAGCCGCACTGAGAACCGGTTCGCCCCTCCCGCAGAGCACTCCTTGCCCGCGCCCCTCCCGCGCCCCGCCCCTCCATGGCTCCCCCTCCTCTGCCCGCACCCCCCCCCCAGGCTTCGCCCCTTCCACTGTCCCCTCCTCTGTCTCCCCTCCCCGGCCACCCTTCTGCAGTCCCCGCGTGGTGGCGGCCGCGGGAGCCACGTGTGTCCGCGCCCGGCGGGCGTGCAGGCAAGCGTGGCCACGCCTGGCCCGGCCATCATTCCCGACGCGGCGGCGGCGCCGACTGGGCAGCGGCCCCTCGGTGCGCCCAGCCGAGGCCCCGAGCGCCGGCGCCGGGAGCATGAGCGCGGGCTCGGAGCGCGGGGCGGCAGCGCCCCCCGGAGTGGTGCCCGCGCCCCGCGCCTCCAAGGTGGAGCTGCGGCTCAGCTGCCGGCACCTGCTGGACCGCGACCCGCTCACCAAGTCCGACCCCAGCGTGGTGCTGCTGCTGCAGTCCCAGAGCCAGTGGGTGCAGGTAGGCGCCAGGGCGGGCGCGACCCCCGGTGCAGGTGCTGAGTGGGGACCGGGGGCCAGGGGCTGGGGACTGAGGTGGGCAGCGTGCAGGGCAGGGTCAGGGCTGGGGTTACCAGGTCGAGAGAATCCGCGCCCACGAGTTCGGGGGGTGCTGGACTGGAGGCCACAGAGAGGAGCCCCAGGTAGAGAGAGGGAGCACCAGCGTGGGGGGCGCGACCAGGGTCCCACGTGGGGGTTTAGGTGCCGGAATGAGGCACCCCGGCTTGAGGGTGCCGGCAGGGGGCTTGACTAAGGGGCACAGAAGAGAGTGGGGGGGTGCAGGAGAGAGTGGTGCGCCCAATGGGGGATGCAGGGTTGGCCTGGGCTCATGGGTCCCCCCCGGCCTGGGGGGGGCCACCGCTCCGCCAGGTCCTCATCCGTCAGACAGAGGCACCCAGACCTCGGATCCTGGAGGGGGGAGCAGGGAGGGCCAGGCAGGGCTGCGGGGTTGTGGGGAGCAGCTGACTGAAGCTGGGGCATTGGCAAGCTAGAGATTTGGTCTCTGACCCACCTGGAGGGCTCCCAGCCTGTCGCCTGCTCTTCTCTTGTGGCAGACTCTACTGTGAGTCTCCAGAAACCCTGGGGTGACCGGGTCAGCCCAGCACTTGTGGCCATGTTGGGACAGCTGAGGTCTGGTTTGTACACTCCATGGACCTGTTTCTCCCTTTGATACTCTCGGGTCCTGGGGGTCGCTGGGGTGCCTGGGCAGCTGGCTGCCCCTTGTCACCCCCGGCCCAGCCCTCCCCGTGGGCCAGTCACGGCGATAGCTCTGCATTGTGCAAAGCACTCTCTCGGTCACTGTCCCCTGTGAGATGTGTGCTTCACCTGGAAAGGTTGAGAAACGCCGGGCATGGGCAGGTGAGGTTGGGGGGGGGTTGAAGCCACAGTGGAATTGAGGGGTCCCTCCCCAGGCTCCAGCACGCCCCCTGACTGTGGTGACAGTGCAGGGGGACCTGGGTGGGGCGGTGGGGCCGTGGGGAGGGTGGATGAGGGGGCGACCCTGGTGTTCACCGCTGGGGGCCTGGGTGGGGGAGGCAGATAGGCTGGGCCCCGACCTGCGAGGGGCACAGAGTCCTGGAGGCTCCAGTGGCCAGCTTCCACAGACCAGCTCTGCTCCCCCATGTGGTGTGCCCTTGTGCTGTTTCTTGTCATCTCTTGACCGCCAGGCTCCTGTGGGTCATTGACCTAGGAGGCAAAGGTGCCACTGCAGCTCAGTGTCTTTGTGGTGCTGGGAACATTGGGAAGATCTGTGAGGAGGGCTCGCTTGGCCTGAGCACGTGTGCAGATGTCCCTTGGGGGGCCACACAGACCCTCCGTCTGAGGGTGCGGGAGTTTGTGTACCCTGGAGGGTGGCAAACCTACTTCCCCAGGCTGGATTGTGCTTTAGGGGTGTAGGGGGGCCTAAGTTGGAGGAGAGAGCTGAACCCAGGGGGATCTGTAACCCCTGCCCCAGTCTCCCTGCCTGCCCAGCTGGGGAGAGATCTCCACTTTGGGTTTGCCCAGCCCAGGATTCTGACCCAACTGTGTTCCTGACTTGGACTGCTTTTGCACAGGATCCTTTCCCTCTCCGAGCCTCAGTTTCCCCATTGTGGTGGGGATAGAGTGGGCTGTGGTGGGCAGGACATGAGAAGCTGCAGAGAAGCTGCGGCCTATGGCTGGCCAGGGCTGGGGCCTTTCTTTGAGGGAGGGAGGTGCCCAGGGCCCGCAGCTGCGCAGCAGCTGAAATCCTGAGGAATGGAGTGCAGGTTGTCCGGGGGAGGGGGCGTGGGGGGTCTTCCCAGGGCCTGGCCTGGACATGAGTCCTCCAGGAGCACGTGAGGGCAGGTGAGGGGACTCTGCGGGCCAGAGCTGGGGGCCCAGGGCCCGGGGAGTGCCTGGGTGGACGTGGCTCTCCCGCAGGGTCTGCTCAGCCTGGGCTGCTTGCAGGTGGACAGAACTGAGGTGGTCAGGAGCAGCCTGCACCCCGTGTTCTCCAAGGTCTTCACGCTCGACTACTACTTTGAGGAGGTACAGAAGCTGCGCTTCGAGGTCTATGACACGCACGGACCCAGCAGCCTTAGCTGTCAGGACGATGACTTCCTTGGAGGCATGGAGTGCACCTTGGGGCAGGTGGGCACCCCGTCCCCTCAGGAGGAGAGGCCCAGGTGGGGAAGCGCCCCTGGGCCAACGCTGGTGGGAGGCGGTGGTGATGTGGGGACAGCCTGATTGAAAGTCGACTGTGGTACCTCACAGCTCCCTCTGGGACGAGCGTCCCACTCTGCCTGCCTCCATAGTGACTTCTCTTAAAAATTCTTTATTAGTTAGCTTTAAAAGTATGTAATTTTGAACTGGGTGATGCATTCCTCTAATTCGACATTTGGAAAGTGTGAAAGGCGTGGCATGGAACGTCTACCTCTTGCCTGTCCCCGGGCTCTGTGCTCTCACATGAGGACGTGAGTGTATATTTTTCTCTCCGTGTATGTATTTTAACAACACAAACTACATACACCGTTCGGCAACTTGCTCTTTTCACTGTCATGACATGAGAAAGCCCTTCCACGTCGCCACAGAAGTGTCCTCGTTTCTCCCTGTGGCAGACGGACCAGCCCGTCGAGGGCTGCGGTCATCAGAGGGACACTGTTTGCGGTCCTCGGATGATGTCCGGTCCAGTAGCTCTTCCCTAAGCCGCGCAGTAAGGGTTAGGTTACTTCCTTCTCGGCTGGTGAGGGGAGGTGCTTCTTAGTCCTTGACGTATAATTTACGCACAGCAATAGGTGCAGACCTTAAGGGTCGATGCTGATGAGTTTAGGTACCTGTACACCTGATCATCGCCCAGCTCACACAGGACACTTCATCACCCCCACCGACCCCCTCCTCTCCAGCGAACTCCTGCTAGCTTTGCCTGCTCTAGAATTTCCTGTTCACGAATCACACAGTGTGTTCTCATTTGTGTCCGATTTCTTTTACCCAACATGCTGTCTGCATGACTCATCCCCATTGCTGTCTGGTTCGGAGCTGGTTTAGGGTGGATCCCTCTGCCAACCCCATTTTACAGATGACAGCACTGAGATTAAGGAGGGGCACGGCAGCAGTGCAGGATCCCCCCGGGTGGTTTCCCCCCTGCTCGTCTCGAGCATGGAAGAGAATAGTGCACACCACGGACACACGTGTGGACACACAGGTGTTGACATGTATGCACGGGCATACGTGTTCGCACAGCACAGGTCCACGGGTGAGGGTACAGATGCATTCTTGGATACACAGGAACAGGTGTGGGCGCAAGCATGTCTAGGCTGACATGGCCCGCTCTCAGCTGACTCGCCAGGCCCGCACGGCCATCAGGGCAGCTGCAGGCGGAGCTCGAGGTCCCGACACCGGCGGCGAATCCCAGTCGCAGGACCTGGAGCAAGTCGCTGACCTCTGCCTGAACCTCCAAGCCTCAGCCACCTCAGGGGGTGGTTGGGGGACCGAGAGAAGAAAGCGCTTATCGACCTTAACTGGTTCACAAATGAGCTAGCCCCAGCAGTGGACCCTACGAGTGGGAGCACCTGGGGAGGCTCGGGACACGGCCCCCCCAGCACCCCTTAGCCTGTGTTGACCTCCCCACGTGCAGCGAACGGTCCCATGGGCTCATGAGCTGTCAGCTAGGCAGCGCCGCGTGGGTGTGTGGGTTGGGAGTATCTGAGCGGACTCAGCTCACTGTGCCATAGTCACCCCAGCTCCAGGAGCCGGTGGACGGTGAGGCCAGGTAAGTGCTAATGAGCGTCCGGGTCACCGTCACCATGGCGACAGCTGGTCTTGGTTGGCCAGCAATGGGTGGGGTCCCTACGATGTCGTGGAGCCTTTGGTAGCTGGGAGGGGCTGTCCTCACTGAACCCTTCTACAGACCAGGGCCCCCACCCACCTGAGTGCTGCACACAGCTTCCTGGGTCAACTCACGGGCCCCAGTTAGGGGTTTGTAGCTGAATGAGGGAAGCATCCACGCAGGGCCAGGCGAGGGGGAGGCCCAGGTGGGCAGGAGTGGGGAGGAGCCCCCAGGGAGGGCGCAGCACCAAGGATGTCCATGGGGCAGCATCGTCTGCACGAATGTACAGGAGGGTGCAGAGCTGGCTTGGTGTCTCCATTCTTGCTCTCAAGCCCTCTGCCACCTTCAGGGCAGCCTGGGAGTCCAGGGTAGCACCCAGGAACCCTCGGCCTCATGCCGCCAGGGGGGTTTGAAGCACCTTGCTGCCTAGGGGCCGGAGCCGGACATGGAGGAATTGGGGCTGGGTGGGGCTGGGTGTGTAATCCGTCTGGTGTGTGGGGTGCTGTTTCTGCTTCCTCCTCTCCCGACACATGGACAAGAGGGCCCCTGACTGAGCCAGAGGCCATGGCCGCACAGAGAGACGCCCATCAGGTGGACTAGCATCTCCAGAGTGGGCCGTGGGTTGGTCACTGCCGGGCCCCGAGGCTGTGGGGCCCTGGGTCATAGGTTTGGCAGAGCCAGGCTCCCCAGGGGGACTGAGGGCAGGGTCCCCAGGGGACAGGAGCTGACCCCTCCCTGACTGTTCTGACTTCCAGATCGTGGCCCAGAAGAAGATGACCCGCTCTCTCCTGCTCAAGTTCGGCAGGAATGCGGGCAAGTCCACCATCACGGTGAGGCTGCCCGCCTTCCCGCCCAGCCCCTGCACTGGCAGACCCCACCCCTTCCTCAACCAGCTCTGAGGGGCGAGGCCCAAGGCTGCCTTCCGGGGGGACGGGGGCAGAGGGGGGGGCGGGGGTGGTCCTTGTGCCTCCCCTGGGCCTGGCCCGCGGAGCTCCGAGCCTTGGCTTCCCCTCCCAGGTGATCGCTGAGGACATCTCTGGGAACAATGGCTACGTAGAGCTCTCCTTCAGGGCCCGGAAGCTGGACGACAAGGTGCATGGCGGGCACCCGCGTGGGGGCCACAAGGACAGCCCACCCCCAGCGCTGCCCTCCCCCGTCAGAGCCTTCCAGAGAAGCGAGCGCTGTGTTGAGTGAGAGGCGCTTGGAGCCCCGTGGGGCCCCCAGGAGGCTGCTCCTGTCCCCGTGTCAGTCACTGGCTCTTGGCTGTGTTCTGGGCGCTGGGCCCCTTCCCGAAACCTCTGTTCATGCCCGTGGCCCCGTTTAACGATGGGGGCACGTGCTCGGGGAGGCTGCCATCCAGACAGCGGAGGGGTTGCTCTGAGCCCGGTTCTGTCGGCTCTCACACGGGGTGGGAGCACACAGAGAGGGGGGTCGGACCTGCTGGAGGGTGTGTCCTGCTGCCCTCCCTGGCCAGGCAGATGGGAGCCTGGGGAGGAGGAGGGGGCCAGCAGCTGGGGCTAGCCGAGTGTGTGCAGACACGGCCGGAGAGTCACAGGAAGGGTCCTGGGGAGCCAGGGAAGGCTCTAGAGGGGGAGGGCAGCCTAGGGTCACTCCAAGAGGCTCTCACCCTCATTTCCTAGCTAAGGGGATGGAGGCTCCATGGGGGTGAACAGCACTGCTGGGAAGCCGCAGAGCGAGGCCGGTAAGCACAGCCTCTGCCCTCCTCCAGGACCTCTTCAGCAAGTCAGACCCCTTCCTGGAGCTCTACCGGGTCAATGATGATCAGAGCGAGCAGCTGGTGTACCGGACAGAGGTGAGGGCTCACTGCCTAGCACCTGACGTCTGCTGCAGTGCTCTGGGGACCAGAATGAGAGTTCAGGGAACGGAGCCAGCCCCGTCACTCCCCCACGTCCTCCCCGCGCACATCTCCTTCAACGGGGAGCCGGCCGACCAGGCGGCCAGGCCGGGCGTGTCTGCCGCTAGAACCCACAACTGTGTTTTGTCATCCCTGCCTGCAGGTGAAATGGCATTTCAGTTAGAGCATTGAGACATTGTCTCCTTTTGAGATAAATTGATCTGAGTAAGAAAAAGAGGCTATTTAAAGAACAGGGTTCCAGGTGGCCCGGGAATGTGGCGGAAGTTCTGGAGGTGGCTCCCGGGGGAACCTGAGCCGCCACCTCCCCCCCCCCGCCCCCAGGTGGTGAAGAACAACCTCAGCCCCGTGTGGGAGCCTTTCAAGGTGTCCCTGAGCAATCTGTGCAGCTGTGAGGAGACGCGGCCTCTGAAGGTGGGGCAGGACAGGGTGGGGGCGGGTGTGGGGAGCCTGCTGCAGGGGTGGGGTCCCACAGGGGCAGGCGGGCTGAGGGGGCCTGGGCTCCCCAGTGCCTCGTCTGGGATTATGACTCCCGCGGAAAGCACGACTTCATCGGGGAATTCTCCACCACCTTTGAGGAGATGCAGAAAGCTTTCGGGGAGGACCAGGTGAGCTGGGCCCGTCCCTCCCCACTGCCTGAACACAGGGTGGAAAGTGGGTGAAAGCTGGGTTCTGACCCATCTGCACAGGGTTCTCTGGAAGGAGCCACGGGAGGTAGGTAGAGCGCTGGCGCTGAGCCAGGCCAGCTCCAGACACTTCCAGAAACTGTTATTACTGGTAAAACCCAGAGAAGACTGATGACCACGCTGCCAGGTGGCCAGACCAGAGACATCAGTTGCCTCATTACAGTTGGAAAAATGCTGTTCAGGGCTGGGGTTTTGAGGTCTCCCTGCTCTCTTGGGGTGGGTGTTGGGCACTGGCCCTCGGGGGGTGGGGGTCTCTGCCTATCCTTGTCCCCCAGGCCCAGTGGGACTGCGTGAATGCCAAATACAAGCAGAAGAAGCGTCATTACAAGAACTCTGGGGTGGTCATCCTGGCAGACCTGAAGGTGAGCTGCGGCACCTGCCTCACCCACGGTGGGTTGGGGGCCGGCTCCCGCCTAAACTCCGCAGAGAGCCAACGGGGCAGGGGCGTGCCCCTCCCTGTGAGTCTCCCCACTGTCAGATGGACCCTCAAAGGCCCCCAGTCCCAGAGCCCTGGGGGTCCCCAGTCCTTGGCGGAGGGAAGTGGGAGGAATGGAGGGCAGGAGGGGTCAGAGAAGGGAAGTGGGGGGGCAGCTGGGGGTCAGGCCGCTCCAGGCAGCTCCCCTGGGGGAGGGCAGGTCCCCGGGGCTCCAGCCTCCGTGCCTGGGCGTGGCACGTCCTGGGTGGGCCCTGCCAACGCCCCTGCCTGGAAGTTCTACAGGGTCCACTCGTTCCTGGACTACATCATGGGCGGCTGTCAGATCCACTTCACGGTGAGCGCCTGGGACCCCCGCTCCCCACCCCACCCCACAGAGCCCCTCCACCCCCGCAGAGCCTGGGCAGCCTCCCCACCCGGACGGTGGGGGCCGAGGTGCATACATGCGTGTAGTGAGGCCCCTCTGCGGGGTCTGCAGGGTCCACACACCCCCTGCCCAGCTCTGGGCTCTTCCTGTGCATAGAGGGTCCCCCATCCGGAAGGGATGGAGCCAGAACTCTGCCTCATAACAGAAGCAGTGTCAGAAAGACGAGGAGAGAACAGAGTGACACTTGTCACCGCCAGGGACAACACCAGAAGCCCCAAGACCAAGCTGCCGTGGCCTGGCCTGGAGCCGGGGCCTGGAGAGCCCATGTGTCGCCTCGTTGCTCATTCAAGGATGCATGGGTTCCTGTCTGTCCCCTGAGCAGCAGCAGGAGGGGCCTGAGGGAAGTGTCCCGGCAGGGGTGGCACGCAGGGATCCACCCCAGGGCTTGAACTCTCAGACCCTGCCCAGGCAGGCTGGCAGCAGAGGCGAGTCTTGGCCTTGGGTCGCCTCCCACGGCCCTGCCCCAGGCCCAGTGACAGGCTGGTGGCACCGGGAGAGGGAGGGGCTTGTTCCTTCCTGAGGATGCAGGCTCCATCCGGTTGTGCTGGTCAGCACTGGTCAGCGCTCGCTGCCCTCGGCCTCCACCCCAGCACAGAGCTGGGCCCTCACATGGCCCTGGGGACTGCTCTAGTTTGCACCCCTTGCCAAGCAGCTCCCCACAGCTCATTCCCCTTACCTCTCAAATGGGGGTTCTGGGTATTTAGTCCAGCCCACATGGGAGAGGGGCCCCCAGCTCATGAGCCGGGGTCTCTGCAGGTGGCCATCGACTTCACGGCCTCCAATGGTGACCCCCGGAACAGCTGCTCACTGCACTACATCAACCCCTTCCAGCCCAATGAGTACCTGCAGGCTCTGGTGGCCGTGGGGGAGATCTGCCAGGACTATGACAGGTGTGGCCCCTGCCCCCAGCCTCCCTGCCTTCCTGCTCCCGGCCTCCCTCCCTCCCTGGCTCCAGCTCAGGTTTGGGCCCAGGGGTGGGCATCATGGCTGTATCCACTGGCCCAAGGAAGGCTGGCAGTGCCCGGGGCCTTGGTGGGTGGGGCTTACTCCACGGGCCAGCCCCAGGTGTCCCGCACGGGCAGCCCAGTCCCCTGAGATAGGGCTGGCCCTCACTCACATGGCCCCTTCACCCTTCATGCAAACATGGGGGGTGGCCCAATTTATAGACCAGTAAACTGAGGCCACAGAGGGGTAGACCCCTCTGTCAGGGGGTGGGTGGCAGAGAGCTGAGATCCCAAAGGCAGGAGGCCGATGCTTCCCAGGGTCAGGCTGTGGTCCCAGAGTTGGAGGAGTTGTCTCTGCCCCTGCCTGGAGGCTGGGTGTCTTCCTCACTGCTCAGTGCCTCAATGTCCCCCGTGTGGTTCGCAGCAGGGCCGGGCACCCAAGAAAGTGTCAGCCTGGGCCTGGTCACACAGGGGTAGAATAGAGCCTGGCTGTCCTGGTTCTGGTAGATATCTCCCCAAAGTACCCCCACCCCCAGGGAAATCAGGGACCCCTGTGTGATGGGGCCGCCTCTCTTCCAGCGACAAGAGATTTTCTGCTTTGGGGTTTGGAGCCCGAATTCCTCCCAAGTATGAGGTAGGAGAACCTGGGGACCGGGACCCCACCCCCCTGCACCTGCTGGGGCCTCCGGGGCCAGGCTCATTGTCCAAAGCAGAGGCCGTCCTGGGTCCTGGGACCCCTCAGCGGCTGCCTCTCGCTGGTGGGAACGCAGAGACCCTGCACTTCCAGCCAGAGAGGCTGACCTTGGTCACCTAGCACCAGTGACCCTCTGGGGGAACTGAAGAAAACTCTGTGTCCCTGTCAGGAGAAGGGGAATGAGTCTGGAAACTTACAGTAGCAAATAGCTGAAGAACATGGTGGCAGGAGGGATTTATTGGTTTAATGCATCTCAGACCCCCTGGCTGCAGGGGCCTGAAGGACTAGAGTCCGCCTGCCCTCTCTCCCAGGTGACTCCCTCCATGAGGCTCTGTCCACATGGGGGCCCCAGGAGCTGCAAACCTACCTCTCCTGGGAGGTGGGGGGGTGGGGGTCCTGGAGGGGTAGCCCAGCTGACAGTCCCTCTGTGCCCACCCAGGTGTCCCATGACTTTGCCATCAACTTCAACCCTGAGGACGATGAGTGTGAAGGTAGGGGCCTGAGGCAGGCCTGGGTGGGGATGCCCCCGGGCCGGGCTCACCCTCCCTCCCCCACAGGAATCCAGGGTGTGGTGGATGCCTACCAGAACTGCCTGCCCAGGGTCCAGCTCTACGGCCCCACCAACGTGGCCCCCATCATTTCCAAGGTGGCCCGCATGGCCGCGGCCGAGGAACACACTGGGGAGGCCTCCGTAGGTACCCGGGGCAGGCGGCAAGGTGGGGCCTGGGTGCATGAGAAGGTGGTGCGTGCCATTGGGGGACCAGGTATGGGCTGCAGTGTGTGAGGGGGGCATGGAGGTCAGGGAGGCGCAGGGCTGGGGGTACTGGGGGATGCAGGAGGGCCTCAAAGCCCCCCTAGAGGCACAGGTATAACTCTCACCTGGTGGGGTCACACCCCCTGGAGGCTGATTTGCCCAGTCCCTTCCCCACAGGCTGTCTGTTTGTTGTTCTGCTGTGCGCATATTATTTTGTTTGTGTGTCTTTTTATTTTTCACAAATAATATTGTGCTGAAAGTTGCATTCTGCTTTACTTTTTTTTTTTTTAGATTTTGTTTACTCATGAGAGAGAGAGAGAGCATGCATGTGGGGGGGGTGGTCAGAGGGAGAAACAGGCTCCCCACTGAGCAGGGAGACCGATTCAGGACTTGATCCCAGGACCCTGGGATCATGACCTGAGCCAAAGGCAGATGCTTCCCCAACTGAGCCCCCCAGGCGCCCCTGATTTCCTTTTTCAACATGTTTGTAGATCTGTTTGTGCTGCTGTATGCACTGCTGGTCTGTTGCTTTACCTTTTTATTCTGTAAAAGACATCACATTTGCAGAAGAGTGCTCCATCCCTCACCTGAGGTCACTGACTTCTTTCCGAGTTTCCTCCCTCCCCCTTTCCTCTTCCCTCCCATATGATTCGGAAGCAAGTCCCAGACACATAACTTTGTCTGTAAATATCAGTATAAACCTCTCGAAGAGAGAAAAGAGAGCCACAGTGCCATGACCACACCTAAAACACGACAGTCATTCCCTCGGTATTGAAATACCAGTATCTAAATATGAAGCGTCTCAGCAGCGCACATGTCTCACTGGATGGTTCATGTCCCGTCCCAGTGGCTTCTATGGCAGAACGGGGGTGAAAAGGTCCCAGTGTGATTGTGGCCGTGTTCTCCGCCTTCCCTTGCTGATGGAGGGGGAGTCCTGTAGGGTCTCCTGGTCTCGATGCTGACTGTTCCCCGTGGGGGCGTTCACCACATTCTTGTCTCTTCTGATTTGACTTCCCAGGAGGTGGTGGGAGTGTCCCCAGGAGGCACACATATCTGCCTCTGTCCTCCTTGGTGCTCAGAGCCTCCGTCTCTGTTAAGATGCTTCACAGGGGTGTCTGTGGGCTGCTAGATTGCTTCCCGTGGAACAGTAGCTGTGTTGATATGGTGGGGAGGCGCTCGGCGTAACCTGGGACCCGCTTCTCAGTGCTCACCACCTGATCTTCCCCTGCCCGTCCGTCTCTTTCCTCTTGAGGGAAAGCGGTGTTACTCCCTCCCAAGTCACACATGGCTTCCTGGGGCCGGACCACAGTCACCCACACCCCAGTGCTGGGAGGCCCCGTGCTCACGGCAACGGAGCTCGGTGTTTGAGACCTAGTCTAGGGTCAGGAGGAGGGCGTGCAGGCTTTCCTGAGGAGGGGCCGTGTCCATGAGGCTGAGAGCTGGGTCCAGCCAGGGGTCCTCGGACGGCCCAGCACACGCTCACTCCTTCCAGGGGTCTGGGGCTCAGGGGGGGAGGAGGGCAGGGGGCCTCTTGGCAAAGGTGACCCTGTTGGTGATGCCCGTTGGTCTTTCCCTCACGTGGTGTCACAGTGTTGGTGCCCACTGGCCCAGGGTCTTCTTTTTTCTCCTTTATGTTTTTTCTTGCCCAGGTTTTTCGTACTCATTTTTAGTAGTTCTGTTTTGGGGGATTTTTGTGTTTGTTTTGTTTTTTAAAGATTTTATTTTTTAAGTAATCTCTACACCCAATGTGGGGCTTGAACTCACGACCCTGAGATCGAGAGTTGTGTGCCTGAACCAGCCAGCTGCCCTGTTTTGTTTTGTTTTGTTTTGTTTTGTTTTTTGAGAGAGAGAGAGAGAGAAAATGTGGTGGGGGGGGAGGGGCAGAGGGAGAGAAAAAAATCTCCAGCAGACTCCACGCCCAGCACAGAGCCTGACGTGGGGCTCGATCTCACAACCCTGAGATCATGATCTGAGCCAAAATCAAGAGTTAGATGCTTAACTGACTGAACCACTCAGGTGCCACAACCCCTGTTTATTTTGTTTTTTAACAAGGGAAGTGGACTTTTATTTGAAACAAGTCCCAGTCTGTCTTTGTGCTGATGTGCTGAGCACCTGGCCAGGCTGGGCCAGAGGGTGTCCTCTCTAAATTGTTCCTTGGATCTCAGGGTCCCTTCAGGGTGTGGGAGGCCCTGTCCACCGACAGTCCACAGGACCCTCCTTCTCAGGCCTCGGCGGACGTGGGTTCGGACCCAGGCTCCACCAGCCTCAGCCCCTCCATCCGTACGATGCAGAGGCGGGATGGGTTGGGAGATGGGTGGACGCGTCCAGCCACAGTAAATGAGCTCATGCTGTCTTGTGGTTGTGATGGACTACACTTCAGCAACAATTTCAGAAAAGCCTGAACACCCCCAGCTCGGGATGCCCTCAGTGGCTCCCAGGCTGTCTGGGGAAAGGGAGCTGCATGGGGGACTTGCGGTTGCCTGGGGGGTAGAAGCGGCCTTCAAGGGTCCCCAGCCGACCTCCAAGGGCCTGAGGAAGGGGTGGGGGGCCCGTGCCCACTCTTTCCCTGTGCCCCCAGCAATACTACATTCTGCTGGTCCTGACCGATGGCGTGGTGACCGACATGGCCGATACACGGGAGGCCATCGTGCGTGCCTCCCACCTGCCCATGTCCATCATCATCGTGGGGGTGGGCAACGCTGACTTCACGGATATGCAGACCCTGGACGGGGACGACGGCGTCCTGCGCTCCCCGCGGGGCGAGCCAGCTCTCCGAGACATAGTGCAGTTCGTGCCCTTCCGGGAGCTCAAGAGCGTGAGTCCATGCAAGGGGGGGTGGGGTGGGCAGGGCCTTCCCCGCAGGCTCCCAGGCAGGAGCGGGACTTGAACTGCTTTCAAGCACCTAGAAACCTTTCTATTTTGAAAATATTGAGCCTACACCCGGGAGAGAAGGCAGCACGGTGGGCTCCCCAGGCACTTTCAGACCCTTTGTGAGACACAGGAAGGAAATTCATGACCAGTGGACACTCACAGGGCTTTATGGGGGGGCGCCCACCCCCTGCCTGCCTCACACCTGCCCTGTGTGCCTGGGGGAGGGGCAGGGCCGTGTGGGTGCAGGTGCCATTCAGGCCGGAGCCCCATTCAGCAGCGGGCCACTGCAGCCTCCTGTTCTCGGGTCTGCATTCGGCACCAAGGCTCCCCTGGCCGCCAGGACAGAGTCCTCCTCTACTAGAGGGTGGGGGCCGCAGCGCCAGAGGAATGAGGCTGGGGTGTGATCGGCTGGGCGACCAGAGGGTCGGGAGGGCCCCCAGCTGTAACCACGCTGTCCCCGCTCTGAAGGCGTCTCCGGCAGCGCTGGCCAAGTGCGTGCTGGCCGAGGTACCCAGGCAGCTGGTGGAGTTCTACAGCTACAAGGAGCTACCTCCGAGGGGCGGCGACACCCACGCCCGAGATCCGAGGGGCGGCGACACCCACTCCCGAGATCCGAGGGGCGGCGACACCCACGCCCGAGGGGCCGGCTGGCTGGGAGTGCGGCCAGCCTCTGTCTCCAGCACCGTCGGGGTCCCTTAGGCCCCCCCGCCTTCCAGAACCCTCCTGTGCCCACCCCACCCCGCCCCTTTCATCCTGTGCGCCTCCTGCCTGGGCCAGCCTCTGGGACCCCCAAGGCTGAAGGATGAACAAATCCGGGCCTGGGGATCCCTGAAACAGGAGCTGAAGGTGTGGGGCGCTGGTGGTAGCCCCCCATGCCTGGCCCTGCCCCCGGCAGGCCGGTGTAGAATGGTGGGGGGCACGGACTCCTGAGAGAGCAGGAGGCCGGGCAGCTCAGCCCTAAATGAAGGGAAGTTTAGGGATTGGGGGATTTCTGCTTTGCACCCGATCTTCACTGAGGAGGGGCCTGCAGGCTGCCTTCCAGTTGTGGAAAAAACCCCAAGATGCCCCCAGGCCCCTGACCCACAGTCAAGATTCCTCTTTGCTCCCTGCCTTCCTCCCTGCTCACTGCTCATTCCCACCTCCGCACCCGGGTCTATGGGGTCTGCAGGTGGGGGCTGAGCATAATAAAGTGTCATCCTGTCCTTGAAGCAGTTTGTGCCTTTACTGCCCCCACCCTCTGGAGGGGTGGACAGGCGAGTCGGGCCCCTTCCCAACCCCCACACTGGGACAGGGAGTCTGCTAGACTCAGGCCCTCGGGGTTCTTCCTGGACTGAAAGGAAGGGCCCTTTCAAGAATGCAAGGGTGTCAGAGACAATACTCCACCCTAGGAAGGGCCAGAGGGTGCAGCGGCTGCCCCCATACCCTGAGTGGCCTCTCCTTGGCCTTCAGTGATCCACTGCTCGAAATCTGCATCAGCCAGGCTCAGGTGGGGAGAGGCTGTCTGGCAGGGACCCAGGGGCCTTTAACCAGCAACTCAGCTTTATAAGAACCTACCATGCTACACGCTGTCAGGGGAGGGAGCACCACCTGCCAAAGCCTCCCAGCCCTGTGGGGGTGGGTTTCTGATTGAGATTTCCCCTGAAATATCTTGTCTGGGAAAAACAAACTGTCCTGACCCTGAATCTAGGCCCTCCCATCCACTTGCTCATCCATCCATTCATCCACACATCTATCCATCCACCCTTCCCTCCCTCCATCCATCCACCGGTCCATCTGTCCATCCAACCATCCAACCATCCATCCATCCATCCATCCATCCATCCATCCATCCATCCATCCTTCCCTCTCTCCACCCACTCCATCTATCCACCATCCATCCATCCATGCATCCAACCATCCAACCATCCATCCATCCATCCATCCATCCACTCCATCTATCCATCTATCCATCCATCCATGCAACCAACCATCCATCTATCCATCCATCCATTCCATCCACCTATCCATCCACCCATCCACCTATCCATCCATCCACCCCGCCCCCCACTCTGGAGGTCTATTTTTAGCTCCTGATTCATCTCCTGTTAGGCAAGGATAATGGGCATTGCCATGGTAACCTAGCTACTGCTGAATTCTGGAAGAGCCAATGTTGGTCTCTTTGGGGATGGAGAGGACAAAGGAGAAACAGCCCCCTCCATCCACACTGGGAGGCAGCAGGGTTCCAAGATGGGAGGCTGTGTCAGCTCTGTCCTGACCCTGCCACCAAGTCATGGATGACCGGGCCCCAATTTCAGTGGTAGAAAGCCTCAGACCGTTCTGGGTTCCATTCAGGGGTGAAGCCACGGGAATTGGTCAGTTAAGATCCCAGCAGGGGCAAAAGACACAAAGAGAGCTAAGAAGAATGGGAGGGGGTTTATGCAGGGGCCCAGGGCAGCAGTGGTAGGCCTGGGAAGCAGCTCTGGGCCAGGGCAGGGCAAGGGGCCTGATGAGCAGGCAGTGGAAGAAGGGTCTCTTTTTGGAGCTGTTGCCTTAGCAAGGATGTAGCCACTCCCAGAACGTGTGAATCAGAGAGGAAGCAGAGGTGTGAGGCCCCCACCTCTACCCTCCATCCTTTCCCTCTGCCCTTTCTCCTTGGGCCAGCAGGAAGCTGGGAGCAGTCAGGCGCAGCCTACAGAGGATGCTTTCCTGGACTGGAAGGAAACAGGAGGCTGTGCGCTTGGGGCCTGGCCAGTAGGCAGGCTCAGCTGGGCACATGCGGGTGTGGGGGGGTGCTGCTGGGAGAGGTGGGGTAGGCACAGGGTCACCAGCTCAGCCGTCGTGATATGGCAACTGCTCCAAGTCAGAGCCCAACCTCTGCCCGGGCCTGAGCTGGCCAGCAAGACCTGGACTTTTGTTGACCTCTGGCTTTTCCTTGAGTTGCTGAGCTGGTGGCATGGGAGCCAGGAGCAACTGGTGACCACTCTGCCATCATGTGGGCTGGGACTGCCCGGGAATGAGCCGACACAAAGGAAATGGGCCAGAGAAATGGCGCTGGGAAGTGCCTAGTTCTGAGCCCTGAGCTAAGAATGGACAGCTAAGGGAGCCGAAAATTCCCTCTCTACCCAGACCAGCTGGTGGTGGGTTTCCATCACTTGCCACCCAAAGAGTCTGGCCTGGAGGGATGGCAAATACTCCCATTTCACAGATAAGAAAAGCGAGGCTCAGAACAGTTAAATCACTTGCCCGGAGTCACACAACTGGCCAGTGGCCAAAGCGGGACCCACCGGCCCCATGCAATTCCAGGCTTTATGTCTTTCGCCACAACACCTTCCATCAAGGGATATGATCTGTCTGGCTCCAGGCTCCAGACAGGCTTCCAGGGAGGGAAGTAGGACCGGGCAGCCAGAAACCCACCAGCTGTCACAGTGACCTGCAGAGCCTCACTCTTGCTCATACAGCACAGGGCTCGGGGTTTCTCAGCAATCAGAACCAGAAAGTGTGGACCGGGTCCTCCCTGGCAGGAGCCACCCTGGGATTGACTCACTTCAGAAATTGCCCCCAGCACGGTTTGGAGTGGCCCCCTTGTCAGAGGATGGATTTGGGATTTGCAGATAGCGAATGTGCTTTCAGTGGTCAGCTGCGTAAGCCCTGGTCCAGAGTCAGACTGGACACCTGGCTCCAGCTTCCAGTAACTGCGTGACCTTGGACAAGTCACCTCCTGGTCTGCCACCTGGGAGTATGACAGCTTTGAGTCATGGCCCCACTTCCTTGGCAACCTCCTTCTCCTAGAACCTGGGAAGGCTTAGGGTCCTATGGGACCCTCTAAGGCTTGGTCATGAAAATGCTACTCCACTGCTTTGCTCACTTAAGACTCTGGCTCTTGGGACCCAGTGGCCAAGCTGCAAAGAAACCGAAGCTGTCCATGCAGCCAAGGCCCCAGCTGGCTGGCCAGGTGCGTGTGACGCCACGAGAGGGGTCCTCCAGCCTGGCTGAGACCCTGACTGCATCCTCAGGAGAGGGCCTGAGCCAGATCCCCCCAGCTGATCCTCTCCAGAATCCCTGCCCCACAGAAATGGTATGAATTCGGGGCACCTGGGTGGCTCAGTCGTTAAGCGTCTGCCTTCGGCTCAGGTCATGATCCCAGGGTCCTGGGATCGAGCCCCGCATTGGGATCCCTCCTCCGCGGGAAGCCTGCTTCTCCCTCTCCCACTCCCCCTGCTTGGGTTCCCTCCCTCACTGTCTCTCTCTCTCTCTCTGTCAAATAAATAAAATCTTAAAAAAAAAAAAAAGAAATGGTATGAATTCCTCCAGGTTTGCTGTCGTTCTAAGCCACCAAGTTTTGGTATAATTTGTTATGCCGCAGGTAACTGATACACCCTCTTCAGAGGGGTCTTGTGAGGACTAAATGGGTGGTGCCCAGGGCCTGGCACAAAATACGGTTGGGTAAATAAATACCAGTTTTGCAAAGGAGCATGGCTTCTCTTTCTTGTCCTGAGGGAGGGCTGTGCCAAAGCTCCGCCTCTTGTTAACTTGCCTCCGGCCCTGCTGGCCATCCGCCGCCCCCCCAGAGCCCAGGCTGGGCCTCCGAGGCACGGACTCTGGGTCAGGGTCCCTCACCCGAGGGTCTGCCCTCCCGGGCTTAGAGTCGGCCGCGCTGAGGGGAGGAACAGGGGCAGCTGGGCATCGAGGCTGTTCTTTCTTCGTTACAGACAGGCAACTGTGACTAAGTACTCGTAATTGGTGCGGGGGCGGGAGCAGGACTGTCAGACGCGAGCACAGGGGGGCCGTGGGCGAGACCGGCTTCCGTGTTCCCCAACTGTCACCCCCTCCCCCTGCCACTGCACTGATGTCTGCCCCTGAGCAAGGGCACCTGGGACCCTTGCCTGGCACGGACCCTCTTCCTCCCATTAAGGTCCACAGCGGCCGCGGAACCCCGTGCACGGAGGACTCCGGTGTCCGGGGTCCTCACCCCGCTTGGCTCCAGCTGCGCTGCACTGAGTCCCCCCAAACCCCCCCAACCTACCCCCCAAGGTCGGCCTCTTGTGAGCACCATTTCCCAGAAGGGGAAGGAGCTCAGAGAAATTAAGCCACTTGGCCCAGTAAGCACAGCTGGAGGTGGGGGGCGGGGGGTTGTGTCCTGAGCGGGGCCTTGCAGCCCGGTTCTGACGACTCAAAGCCCAGAGCCAGAGCCACGAGGCCTGGGCTGGGTGCGTGTGTGCGCGTCCGCACGGGTTGGGGGTGGGGTGGGGGGCCGCGCGTCCGCACGGGGTAGGGGGTGCGTAGGGGGCTGCGCGTGTGGGACCTCTGTCCTCGGCTGCTTTTGGAAGCCGCTCTTTGACCTCCCGGTCACCCTCGGACAGGCCACACCAGCCTCCTCCTGTCTCTCCAGAAGCTACATGGAGCTGGCCAGACCAACCTGTGTGGGCTGATGGCCGAGTGGTGACAGCCCTGGTGCCCTGCTCACGACACTCAGTGTTGGCCGGAACATTCCTGAGAACATGAGATGTGCAAACACTAGACTAGAGAGACACCTTCTCCAGCCCTGGCCGGGAGGGACCACAGCCTTGCAGCCTACCTGGGAGCAGGGCATGGGCAGAAAGGGCCCACAGGGTCAGGGCGGGGCCCCCCGTGGCCAGAGGCAATGTTACTCAGTGCTCAGTTTGGACCAAGCTGGATGGGGACTCCTGGAGCATGAGATGAGGTGTAGGGCCTTGTGGGGT